TGTCCTCAGGGGGCTGAGAGGAGGCCTGCACGACCAAGAGGAGCTGAGAAGGCTCTCCTATACTGAGGAAGGAAGACTTTGCCTGCATGCTTCCTCATCCTGATCCTGAGCCTGTTGGTCATGATCCCAAATTGTACCCTGTTATTTCCTTAATAAATCACTTACTTGTAAGTATAGTCTGTGAGTTCTTTGTGGCCATTATAATGGATTATCAAACCGAGTAGAGAAGTAGAGAGTGCCTGGGAGGGACGGCTGGTGTCAGAATTGGTAAAAAGGTTGGAGAAGGTATGTCTGACCTCCACTTCATAGGGATCAGCTTTGGGCTGATCCTGGTCATTATCCTCCCCATAGTTAGACAGGTTCTGGTGCTATTACTACTCCCATCATTTTACGGGAAGCAACGAAATGGAGTAGTAACTGCAGGGTAGGGGGGCATGGAGTCATGGGATTATGTGAATGGCTAGATTTAAACAGAGTAGGGGCCTTCCACTTCTCTGACACCAGCTATATGGATCAATGTAATGTATTCCACTTCTGTTTTGACACCAGCTGCACATGCAATACTTCTTCCTCTAACCCTAACCACCCAGAGCTAGGTCAGACCTTACAAATTAAAGGGTACAGTTCTCCAAACTGCCAGGTCTGCCCAAGACTTCAGATACTAGTTGCAAGCTTGGGAGTCCAGCCAACAACCTCACTTTTGACCTGCTGGCTATAAATCTGGGTAGTCCCCTTTACTCAGCTGTAAGCCTGGCAGTCCCTAGCCTCTCACTGCTGACCTACTGGCTACTACAGCTCCCTCAGGTTCAATAATTTGCTAGAATGATTCAACAGAGCTCATGGGAAACAATATACTTATGATTACAGTTTTATTACAGCAAAAAGGATACAATTCAGGACCAACATAAAGACGAGACACGTAGGACGAGGTCTGGGAGGATTCTCATCATGAAGCTTCCATGTCCCAAAGGACAGGCTACCCTCCCACATGCAACCAGGAAGCCCATGAAGCTTCTGTGTCCAGAGTCTTTTTTGGGGCCTCATTACATAGGCATGATTGTTCATGTCCCACCTCTCCCTGGTTGATATCACTCAGCGGTCTTTCTGGGCTGCCCAGCCCCCACCCAAGAGGCACTTAATTAGCATAAACTCTCAGGTATGATCTGGACGCCTCATCAAAGACACTCAATTACTGGGGAATTTCCAAAGTTTTAGAGGTTGTCTCTTAGGAACCTAGGACAAAGATCAGATTCTTTGGGTAAAGTTAATGTAAACCTCACACAGCCCCAGCAAGCTTCTGAAGGTTGGAGCAGAGATATTTTGGGTATCAGAAAGATTGTTTCAGCTCAGTGGTGTGTGTGTGTGTGAGAGAGAGAGAGAGACAGAGAGAGAGAGAGAGAGTGAGAGGCTTATTATAGGTGGAACAGTAGTTTAATGCAATACAACTTGCTCAAACACTTGCATAGATCTGTTTGTAAGTGGGTGTAGATGACAACTCAAATACAAGGAGTGATTTTTTTCAGCATTTTCTGAGTACCTACAATATAGTAGGGGCCCTGGTTGCACAGTGGTTAACAGCTATGGCTGCTAACGAAAAGGTCAGCAGTTTGAATCCACCAGCTGCTCCTTGGGAACCCTATGGGGCAGTTCTACTATGTTCTGTAGGGTCTCTATGAGTCAGAATTGACTCGATGGCAACGGGTTTTTTTTTTTGGTACTACACAGTAGGTTCTGGGAGACAGGATAAATACAAGATGTTTGCTTTCCTAAAGCTCTCATGGATTTAGAAGATTTGTAATTATTATTAGGTACTTGGGGACATAGAAGAAAGAAGGGTCGATTAACATTAGATGGGAATCAGGGAAGCCTTGCAGAGGAGGTGACATTTTAGATGAGCTTTGAAACAGTAGGCCCTTAAGGAGAGAAGATAATTTTGGGCTGGGAGGGGGTAAAATGAGCACAGTTAGGAGATGTGAGAATGTATGCATAGAACAAATGCCGCATAATAAGAAATAGTCAAAGATGAAGCTCTTTTTCCATTAACCAGAAACAATATAGAACTACTGAGTTCTACTCTGTCAGGGTAGACACCTGGGTCTCCTTAACGGCAGCAAGAATGGTTTGAAGAAGAACTGAAATGGTAATTCTTTATTAATTTTCTTCTTTGTTAGAATAAGTATATGAGCTGCTCTAAGGATTTTTGCTATTATTTGCTCACTGAAGAATACTGTAAAGTTAAAAAGCCTTATCTAGCTTTTTCTGGTATGCTATTAGAAAGCATTAACCTTAGTAACCCCGACTTGTCTGTTCATATAAGGTGCTTTCAGTGGAAAGGCTGTTTGAAATCACTCCTTATCACTTCCTTTAGTACATTATTTCAAATTAAATGATTTTAAAACCCCTCTCTTTCCTACGACATGCTTTTGAAATAGCTGTAATTCCTGTATAGATTTTTAGAATGAGGAGTTTATGACCCTGGTTCATGGGTTATTGTGTAGACAAAGTAAGATAAGTCATAAAAAATGGTTAATACAAGCTTGGCACAGTAGCCAGGAATAAATAAATGTTAGTGTTCCCCCTTAGTCTCAGCTTTCTTTTCATCACATTTTTCATTCTTTATTCCTTAAATCGCATTGTAACATCTATGTGTAAAATGCATCCTCTGTTCTAAGGACCCCAGAATCAGGTGAAGCACTCAAGTTAATACCCACCAATTTAGCCTCAGTGTGTGCCTGTGCATGCATTCAGAAGGCCAGTGGCCAACCCAAGCCTCTAACTTGAGCCTTGGAAGGGGCTCAAAGGAGCCAGCTGTGGTTCAGAGAAGGTGTGGCTTCTTACAGCCCTAAGGGCCCAGCAATCCTTTCACCTGAGTGTCCTTGAGTACGGCATTTTCCAAAGAAGTGGGAAAGACATTTATTCATTCATTCATTTAACAAATATTGGTAGCTGCCTACTGGTACAAGGAGCTGAGTAAGAGAAGCAGGACCAGGGAAGTATTAGAGAGCGTGGCTTACTTCCGCAGCTGCAGGTGGTTTGGCATGGCTGGAGGTAAATATATTCTCAGTTTTTGTTGAGGCAAACAGAACAAACCAAAACCTGAGCGAGAAAAGGAGGAAATACTCCAAAGGTAATTTGTGTGTTGGTGAGAATTTGTCACTTCTCTTCAGGATTAGTCAGAAAGGACTAGACAGTTCTTTCAAAAGCCTGGTAACTTCCTTTAGGGGACTGCCAAATTGACTAATCTATTACTTTAACACAATGGGTCCCAAACTTTACTTTTCAGTAGAATCACCTGGGGAGCTTTCAAAAACTCTGATGCCCAGGCCACACCCCATTACCAATTACATCAGAATGTCTAGGGAGTGGGAGCTAGGCTTCAGTATTTTTTAAAGATCCCCACGTGATTATCAATGGACTGCAAAATTCTGGAGTCACTGCCTTAGGGCATAATCTAGTATTGTTCAGTTAAACACACACACACATCCTTATTTTGGTTCAGGTTCCAAGCGTTTCTGAAACTGTTTTTGCTCCTTTCCTGCGCTGGGGGCGGCTGTGAGCAGGAAGAGGATATGGTGTCACCCAGTTAGGAGATCCCACTTCACTAAACCGATTAGTGTAGGTTGCCAGCGCTGCACGAGCAGTGGATTTTTGCTTTGTCATTCTGACTTTGGCTGCTAACCCGGCGGCTCAGAGAAGGGCGCGGCTTCTTGGAGCTATTACATACCAGCAACCCTTCACCTCAGTTCGCTTCAATCCGGCGTTTGCCTGGGAGTCAAAGGTGGCTTTACTCCTGAGGAAGAGCCTGACGGCTGACTGTTCGCACACAGTAAGCTCTGCGGTACTTGAAAACGGACAAAGCGCTACGCCTGTAGCATGTGAGCACGTTGGGGACTGTTTGCTTGCAGAGAATGTGAGCTTTGGGTCTGTCCGGTGCATTCTGAATCCAGGGAAAGGGGAGATATTTTAAGGCGGGTCTGAGAAGGGGGATGAGGCTTTTCCAGAGCAGGTGAGCTTCTTGGCAGCGTTCAGAGATGAGTTTCACCTCGGTCAGTTAATGCTTCAGCATATGGGAGGGGAGGCTTGCACCCTGTTGACCGATGGTTTCCTTCCTCTTGCTCTTGCTTGCAGAATATCTGAGAAAATAGGTTTTTGTATCATTTCTTAGTACACGAGTCTTGAAATGTAAATAATAATCTGATTAATAGATTGACAGATCCTGGACATCATTAAGAAAGTCGAAATGTATAAGAATGTCTTTCCAAGGAATTTTCACATCATTTAATCCTCAAATTTGAGAGGTTCGCAAAGCATATGTAATCACCATATTTTTACAAGTGGGGGAAAGCAAGGCTTAAAAAGTCAAGTGACTTGCCCAATTTGACACAGATTATAAAGTGAGGCAGCTAAGACTAGAGTCCAGTGCTTATTATCTCGGTGTATCAGGCAGTACTGGGTAGTCGTTAAGAGCATAAACCTGAGCCACATTGCCTGGGTTTGCATCCTGGTTTTGCTGTTTCCTGACTAGCTTTGTGATCTTGGGCATGTTACATAGCTTTCCTGTGCCTCAGTTAATCTATCTGTGAAATGGACCTGGGGCTTGATAATACCTACTTCAAAAGGCTAGTTGTGAAGATTAAATGTTTAATACATACAAAGCACTATGGAAGTGTTAGCTGCCATTGTCATTATTGTTAACATTAAACAACTATACGTTTGAGTGTTGATTTTATCTCATGAATGGGCCTGATGTCAGTGTAACTGGATTTTGTTTTTAATTCTATCACTGACTAATTCTCTACCTGAGTTCACCCTTTGTAAAACTGGATCATTAGTTCCTGGTCTCATCTAGAATTTTGATGCATTGCCTCAAAGTTCTTAAATAAAAGCGCCCCAGATGGGCAGTGTTGGTAATTTTGCCCCGAGGTTTCAGATTTCTAGAAAACATTGGAAGTTGGATTTTGGCATTCGATATAGGTGCACTGTTCAAAGCCCAATTAAATGGGGAGGCATGTTGTGAAAGCTGAGAAAATTATGTCTTCAGTTCTTACTGGAAAAAGAGGACGTTTAAATTGAGCGGAGACTTGCCATAATTTAACTGAGCGGAGCACTGACGTTTCTAGCTACCCTTGAGGCCATGTTTTCAGTTAATACAGAGGTTGACCAGGTCCAAAATCCAAGTCTGACAGGACTCTAGTCATGGTCAGAAATGGAGCAAGTCATGCTAACTTGCAGGGGAGTCACCGTGTTGCCCGAGGGCACACAGTTAATGAATTGGAAGGCCCCGGGCCCCGGAAGCCCCGCCCCTCCGCGGTTCCCGCCTCGGTCGGCTGGAAGAAAAACCTTACAGACTCGGCTCTCTGCTTTTGTGCCACAGAGGACCGGCAGGGCCTGGAAGGAGCGCTCTCGGAGTTGACCTTGGAAACCAAAGTGCCCGTGGTGTTTGTGAAACAGAGAAAGATAGGCGGACATGATCAGACCTTGAAGGTAGGAGATACTAACTTTTCTTTTACCACCTTAACTAGGAATGAGCTCATCGAGCCCATTGTGGTGGCAGCTTCCTGTTAAAGCCGGTGTTCTGTGAACGAACCTCTAAATGGAGCCCATCTTTAGAAAATGACAGACACTGGTGGGATAATTAACGTGTTAATCCAAGTTGATCAGACAATGGGTAAATTTCAAAACGGGAATATGTAACTATTTTCATCTTTTACAATAAGTTTTAAAAATGCGCCCCCCATCCCGCTCCAGTCAGTCTAAATAACTTAAAAAATTTTAGCGGCTGTGTAAATTTCTGATTTTGAGTTGTTTAGGGAAGTACCGAGGAAGGGGAATCAGGAAATTCTTATCCTCCTCAAGTCACCCCTGTCTCTTCCTCTTTAATTCCCCGGGTGGGGTGGGGGGGACCCCAAAACGCCCGGGCTTCACTGAAGAAAGCAACCAGAAAATTCCTGGGGTCAGTACATTTCCCTTCAGAAATCTCTTTTTGTTAGCCCAGAGCTAACAATGGAGTGGAGAGAAAAGGGAACAAGAAATCTTCCTTTTGGTTCTTGGCATGATGGAAATCCCTCCTTAGGACCATCCACTGAGGGCTGGAAAAATGCTTGGAGGCTAGATGCATGTTTAAGGCTAGATGCCAGAGTGATGTCCTACATCACTTGTGGTTGGTTACCACGTTAGAAAGTTTTAGTCCTTACCCATTTGTATCTATGTAATTTTTAAGAAATGGAACTCATACGTGAACATTGTCTACTTAGCAGTAAACCTGAGGCCTGAGTTAAATGTAAAAATATGTTTAGGTGTGTGTGCTTTTAGGAAATTGTTAACAGTTTACATTTTTATGTACTACCTTTTCTTCTAAAAGAATATTTCTTAACTTTTGAAGAATGGGTATAGGGAATGGAGCTAGATTTCAAAGACAAATAGCAAGTGAATGGAAAATAATTAAAGGAGATAAAAAAGACTTGTGACTTTATTTAAAATATAGTGTGTCACTCAGACCTTTAGTATGCAAGTAAAACGAGACAAAAGTCTTACTATTCCTTTCCGTCTGATTATTCTCTTCTATCCACCTGTGTCATAAACTTACGTGTTAAAAGTTATACGGGCATTTGATCTTAAATAATTCTGCTGATGTGCCTGGTTTTAACATCAGTGGGAATAAAAAGAATCATCATTTTTATAAGCTTTGGAACCTACTTTGTTAACATGATTTGATGTTTTCAGTTCCATATGATCATTGTTAATTTCAGATATTTAAGGAAGTACAATACCATGAATGAAGAGCAAACCACCAAGGCATACTTAAAACAGAGATCACTTATCACTTAGCACATCTCTTTTAAGTGAATTTACCACTGTCCTGTGTATCATTTGGTTTATTTTTGTTTTTGATGAGTGCTAAGAAATGGAAGAAGAGACACAACAAGGTAAGGACGACCAATTTGAAGTATGTGTATTTCTAGCCAGTTATTAATCCACATTTGCTGATAAATCTTTAGGGAGCTTTGGGTTTGAGTGGAGAAGTGCCTTTTGAGTACTCATAGAAGTTGGGTTGTAATCTTAAAGTTCACACCTTTAAGTTAAAAATTGAGGCTTCATACTTTAATTGCTGCATAATCAAATAATGGAGAGGAAGTCTTTAAAATATCCTCTTTGCCTTTCTCTTTTTAATATTGTTCCTTCCCTTCATCTCCATTTTCCCCTTCTCCTCAATAAATAACAACAACAGCATAACCTACCTTGCTTTCAAAGCATACTGTAGAAGAGGGAGTGAGAATCCTAATGGCACGATCTGGTGAGCCTAGATAACTACCTGAAGGATGAAGGCTTTAAAGAAGTGTGTTTAAAAAAAAAACTGTAGAATTTTCTGGAGTGCTTGTTAAACATGCATACCTGGGCTTTACCTGAGTTCTTGTTGAATAGATACTCTTTATTTTCTTTTTTAAAAATAACCCCACTCAGGTAATTCTTATGAATATCAAATCTGAGACAGCTTTACTGTATAGAGTACTTTGGTCAAGATCAGTGGATTAAAATAATTAGAATTGGGGAAAACAAACAAACGACTACTCTTTAATACCCAAAAGATACTAGTTGGACAAACGCGGCAGTCGGGTTGACTCCAACTCATAGTGACCCTACAGGACAGAGTAGAACTGCCCCATAGGATTTCCAAGGAGCTGCTGGTGGATTCAAACTGCTGACCTTTTGGTTAGCAGCGTAGCTCTTAACCATGGCACCACTAGGGCACATGGTAACTCAACAGGGGTGTAACACTTCATAACTGCATGGAAAAATAGAGAAATATGCCATCTATGGCCAGGGGTTGTATGTCCATGTGTAAAATTGGAACTGGGGAGCTGCTAAATGCTAAGACCTATGAATAGAGTTCCTATTGCTCAAAGACATCTGACTTTCATAAACATCTCAGTTTTGAAGCCCAAGATTGCAAGTATTCTTATAGGGAGTCTTGTATGTAGATCAGTGTCTCCAGGATTCCAGAGTTTTGAAACCACTTGTATAAATGACCACTGTTAGTGTTGAGATGGAAAAAGTAAACTGAATGAAAAAGTACTTGTTGAAATACTAAGTGTCAGACAGAGTTAAGACTTGGTAGTTTAAGGTAAATTGTCTTGAAACTGTCTTAAAACTAGCAACACAGAATTTAGATAATTTCTTCAAGGCAATAATAGGAGAGATGACAGACAACACAGTGCATGATTAACATCCCAATGAATGGTGCAGTAGGAGCTCCGATGTGATCTGTGATCCTGTGATCGTATTGTAGTCAGGTTCAGCGGTCTGACATTCCAGCCTAGGGAGGTAGATACTGAAAAAAAGGTAGATCTCCTTTCAAGTCTAACTTAAAAAGTTACTAGGAACCAGACTGTTAATGAACAGACATCAGGAAATGAGTGGTAATTGAATAACTTCCCAGCCACTCCCTTTCTTTCTCAATACTCTACCAAACTCCCAAAACTCCCAGAAAACTCAATTTCTTTTGATTCTTCAAGATAATTCAGTTTCCTGGCTGGAGGAGGGGGTTAGGGGGGTGGTTAGTAGTGTATCCACCTTTGGTTTGGTTTACGGTTGAGACCTGACAGGGAAGATGGAGGAAATAAACTGGCTCCTTGGGTAGTGCAAATGGTTAACTAGCACAGCTGCTAAGCAAAAAAAGGTTGGAAGTTCAAGTCTACCCAGAGGCACCTCGGAAGAAAGGCCTACCAATCTACTTGATCTACTTCTGAAAAACCAGCCATTGAAAACCTTACGGAGCACGGTTCTACTCTGACACATGCAGGGTTGCCACGAGTTGAAATCAACTCAATGGCAACTGCAGGTGGTGGTGGTAGTGAAGGCTTACCTTAGTAAGAATTTGGAACTTTTAGGGGTAAGAACTACAAACAAGATTTAAAAGAGGGACGGCTTGTTAGGACTGTGAATAAATTTATTTGGTATGGATAATAGTAAAATTTTACTGGTTGACTCCACGTTGAAATCCAGTACTCCCACTTCTACCAGGTGACAACACAAACCTCTTCTTTCCTGGATATCTGTTCTTTACAGTAGCTTCGCTATTCTTTTGGTGGTTCAGGCTTCAGATTTGCTCTTGCCTTTCCTCTCTATTCACTTAGCAGGACTCGACTGTTTTCCCACACATCTGCCAACTCCCTCTATTGAGTTTTGCCCAGACTATTTCAGGTACTCTATCCTGTTGCCTAAACCATTTCAGCAGTCTCTAACTGGCCTCCCTTTCTGGTCCTTTTGCTGCCAGAGTCATCTTCCTGATTGCTATTTCACTGCCCCCAGATCCAAGATAAAGTACACATTCCTTAGCTTGGTATTCTGTACCTCCAGGGTCTGGTCCCAACCTGCTTTTCTGGTTGTCTCCTGCTCTGCTCCCTCACTTACTGGAGGCTCCTAGGAATGCTGACTGTTGCAGCTGTATTCCCTAAAATTTCTCTCCTTTGTTCTGTTCTTTATTTCAATTCTTGACTTCTTTTCCTGCCCAAACCCACTTTTTCAGCTGCTCCTGTTCAGAGTACAGGGTAAGGTTTGGCCTCCTTCCCCCCTCAGTTCTCCCACAACATTCACACAAATCCTTGTCTCTGGAGAAGGAGGAATCCTGCCAGGGATAATTTTTTGGCTTACATGTCAAGGGTGCAGAACTGGTCTTAATCTTTGTGTCTATTAAAAAAACAACAAAACTCGTTGCCATTGAGTCGATTCTGACTCGTAGTGACTCTGTAGGATAGAGTAGACCTGCCCCATAGGGTTTCCAAGGAGCAGCTGGTGGATTTGAACTGCTGACGTTTTGGTTAGCAGCCAAGCTCTTAACTACTACGCCACCAGGGCTCCTGTTAATGATAGTAGCAAACTTTCATTGACCACCTATTATGTGCTAGACTCTAAATGCTGTAATACTTAGTTGAGGGCATCCTCACACCAGTCCTATGAAGGAGGTGGTATTATCCAGTTTTATAGATGAGAAGATGGAGACCCTGAGAATTTAAGCAACATGCCCAGAGTTACAGAGCTAGTCAAGTGGCAGAACCAGGATTGGAACCCAGGCCTGTCTGTGCAAAGCTCAGACTGGCGTGCTCACAGTTCTGGCACTCGACCTTGTTACTGCTATTAGGATACATGCCTGATCTCTCTGATGTGAATGTATGCTTATGATTCAGGGCTGAGCCCATGTGAATCTTGGTATTCCTAGCATACCAAGTGGGTTGGCATGTAGCGGGCTGTCTTAGTCATCTAGTACTGCTCTGACAAAAATACCACAAGTGGATGGCTTTAACAAAGAGAAGTTTATTCTCTCACAGTCCAATAGGCTACAAGTCCAGATTCAGGACATCAGCTCCAGGGGAACGCTATCTCTGTCGACTCTGGAGGAAGGTCCTTGTCATCAATCTTCCCTTAGTCTAGGAGCATCTCAATGCAGGAACCTCAGGTCCAAAGGACGCACTTTGCTCCAGGCACTG